GTAGGTGAATACTTAGCCAGAAAAAAATATAGTGAGAGTAGACTTGAATACTGATATTGTCGGATCGATCACAACTAGACTTTGAATTTCAGAAGTACTTGTCCACGTGGATGCGAATGTTGGTGTGACTCTAAATGCGTTTGGCGTAAATGCAATTTTTATATTTTTCTCTGGCACATATCTACTTCGAGAACCACATCTAGATAGGACAACTTACAATAAAGTTGATCTGATGCAACTCATCAGCTAAGGTCGAGGGCAAATCATCTAAAAAATCACTGATTGCACATTAGTATCACAGTAAATGTTCCAATTACACATCAACCCTTCCTAAACACATCAGCTAGTAGAGAAAGAAACAGACACAGATAAAATTACTGCTAGTCGAATAAAGCTTGACAGATTCATAGACAAATGCTAAAAATATTTAATTGGCTGAATTGGCGGACCGATAAAACTTCATATATATTTGATGTTACTCCGATTATTCAATCTGTAATCATGCTAATACATTTGAATGGGTTACTCTCCCAATAACTACTAGATCAAAAACTCATTTTATTTCATATCACCATCCCTTGAGTCGGGAGTAAAAAAGCTCGTTTTTTGATTGGTCCATTTCTGACTAATGAAAGCTCAAATCGAAAAACCGACTTGATATTCACATTTCAGGATAGCGATAATCTATTCCAAACTTTTATCGAAAGATTGAAAAGCGTTAAAATAAAAAAGTTGACTTCTAATTGGTTGGCTTTCTAGTCAATAGGAAGGGTGGATATAGAATCCCATCACAGATTTAGAATCCTGGTCGTCAATAATCTATAGTGGAGTTTTATCAAAATGCGCAAAAAGCAATTAAAAAAAGCTCATTTCCGATTGGTTGGCCTTTCAGCCAATGGAAACGTCGGGTGCAAAGCCTGATCTCAGATTCTGAATCCTGACCTACGATAACCTATGGTAAAGTTTCATCAGAAGGTAGAAAAAACTTTAAAAAAAATCATTTCTGATTGGTCGGCTTCCTAGCCAATGGGAAGGCTGGGTGCAAAATCCGATGTCAGATTCTGAATCCTGGCTCTCGTTAACCTAACGTAAAATTTCATTAAAAGGTAGAAAAACCTTAGAAGAAAAAAACTCATTTCTGATTGGTCGACTTTCTAGCCAATGGGAAGGCCGGATGAAAAATCCGATCTCGGAATCGGATTTCTCGACCTCAATTATCTTTCGTGAAACTTCAGAAGTTACCCCTGAATAAACTTCACCTCTCACGTTTTTTTGACCTTTGACCATTGATCCGACGACAAGACCATAGACAAACTCTTTTTAATCTTTTTCGTATCATCCTCCCTTCAGTCGAGAGAATAAAGTAAGGCAAAGGTAGAACGACACCCTCACATTTGACTTAAGTCTCACATAATATTTCACTGGTAGATGAACATATTCGAGCTACCGTTTACTAGAAGAAGGATAAATGTTCAAGTTACTGATAGCAGTGCTGCAGTGTTGTATACTTTGCTATTTTCGTTTGAGATGAAGAGTTCGTTTACTATACATTTATAGCTCTGACGCAGACTTCCACCATAAAGGAGACATTAAGTACTTATATTTTAAAAAAAGAACAGAAAATTCAAAGGATAGATAGCTTTCAGAGGTCCAAAGAGGCCACCTTTTTCAGACCTGTGAGGTCTGTCAAGGCCTGTCGAGTTTTTCAAGCGAATATGATAAGGATGACAGATTAGAAACGAGATGTCTGAACAGGGTACTAGGGCTATTGCTCAACCCGATCCTGACCTGCCTATCATAGGCACCACCCACGGTTTTCAGACTAGTGAAAGTGACAGGCCCAGACAGGCCTATAACTGCTTGAACCTCTGACTTTTATTGGTCTGAAAATCATGGGTGTTGCCTATCACAGGCAGGTCAGGATCGGGTTGAGCAGTAGTCTTAGTGCCCTATTTGGACATCTTGTTTCTAGTATGTTATCATTATTGTATTCGCTTGAAAAACTTGACAGGCCGCACAAGCCTTGAAAACGTGGCCTGTTTGGACCTCTGATGGCTCTTCTTTTTGTGCAGTTTTTTTTATTCAGTATTAGGGAATTGATATCATCTGTGCACACACTTTATCTTCCACTAGGGTTTCTAAATTATTAGCCTTTTCGTTTCAACCATTAAAAAGGCGTTTTCTATCTACACAGACACTAGTTGAATGTAATGCTCTTCGCCGAAAATCATTTCATTGAAGACTGGCGGGACGCTTTAGACTGTTGTGAGCCCTTTAATTTTATCCAGGCTTGTTAAACAGAAAGTCGTCAACTCATTTCGTCCTCGCCTTCACCTTTGGAGTGCCCTCCATGGTCAAAAGAATACTGTCGACAAAGTGTTTTTCGGCGAAGAGCATACATACTTGCTATTTGAATACAAAGTCATTAAGCCATGCTTTCCGTCAAATGTACTATCGTGATCTTTTACTTTCCTTGAAAAATCGTTTCTCAGAATTGATTTAGAAAAAAATTTTCGTTTTTTTGCCACATGCAGACACGTTCAATCGATCGGGCCTAGTGGATAAAGAATTTTTCTATGAGCTACAATGGTATGAAGTGTTCCTATGGTGAACCTTTTAGATCAACAACTACTCACTCTTCCACACCCCTTCGGAGCATCACTCTTGGCTATCCGCTACTGCACTTAGGCCTACTTTCCCAAAAGATCATCCTTGTTAATTTGCAATTTAGTCGATTCAGGTTTCGATCATGACGAAAAATATTTCCATTTGAGTGCTATAGAATTTTCTCTAGAACGTTCCAAATAAAAGATTTTTTAGTGAAGCACTCTTTACGTCTTGAATTTCTTCGTCCTTCTATAGAAGCTATTAGTGCACTCCCTGTGAGATTAACATGTGAAACGTCAAGTAGCTGTTGTTGCTAATTCAAGGGAGATTTTTGATTATATGAATCCTTGGGCACGTTTCTTCATTATCTTAGACCTAATTCTTCAGTAATGGGGTGGGTGGGTGTGGGGTATGGGTCATGTCTTTATCCGTACCTAGAGCCACACCCACAACTACAGTTATATCCACAACCACAAGCACACTCAAGCACCGACACCCAAACCCAAACTCACAGCCACGCACACACTCACACCCACCCACACTGACACCCACAGCCACACCCATACCCACTCTCTATTGTTACGAGTAATACGTGATTCTTATTATTTTGTATTTTAAAGAATTAAGATAAATGAATATGTTATCTCTTATGAATAAAGTGTGTTAGACATAAAGTGCAATGGGTAAGACAATTATCATTGAGGTGATCATGCCCAATTGCATTGTTTTACTGCCATTCGGTTGCCAGTAGCATTATTATTATCATGATTTTTCTGACGGAAATTATTTGAAAATTGTTCGATGTATGTGAAAAGAAGTAAATTTTTGATGATGATGCGGAACGTGTTTTGCTTGTTTGTCATCTTTACAATTGAAATTAGACGATAAGCACAAATATATATTTTTCATTAACATAGGTGTCATGTGACTAACGTTAGTTCGAATTCGTAAAGTTATGGAGGGTTTTACACACAAGATTTTATATCAATGATTGTAAAACTAGTAAAGCTTTGGCTCTATCATAGTTTATCAACATGAATCTGAATCTGACGTCGACTCAGAGACTAACGACATTAGATGCGTCTATTCTCGAATTCAAGATTCGCCTAAGCGAATCTGTATCGAAAAATAAAAGCATGAAGCTATTTGGTGTCCTTTCAAATACATATGCATGTCTCCTTTATTATTTTCATGATAATAAAAATCACAGCTAATACCACTGCCACACTGTAGATTTGATGACTATATCGTATTTCACATTTTAATTCCAATGAAATTGCACAGAAAGTTTTTCATTAAAAAAAAAAGACGAAAATAGATTTTGTATTCCAAATGAATTTGTTGCAAATTTACTTTTTCTCAGGTTGGTGTGTGAGTGCATGTGTCATAGGCGCATTTCTCTGCTCTCAAATCAATATTTCACGATATAACATAGAAATAGAACTCGATTTAATAAAGATAGATATGCGGAATTGATAATGATATACCTGCGGACAAGTAAGCAAGTTGATATGACTTTAGTGCAATTTTATCGATATATTCGAGGTATATTACAATAGTTAACTAGAATTCTATGAGTACAATCATTTGTACACATATTCACGCGCATTTATTTCTAATAAATATTCTAGAAAAAATTACAACTTGATGTCATATACCAAATAAAACTACTCAGCATGATATGTGTACCACCTCAAGAAAATAGTCGTATGCTATTTATCTGAACTTCGCCTATCTGTAATATATGAATTACCATATTCTGCTCATAATTATTATTTCCCATCCCTAGTCAACGCAGATTTATTCCAACTTTATAGTGTTTTACTTCTAAACTTTGTATTGAATAATAGCTCTTGATTACGTTTGTTTAGCGAACACAAGAGATAAATATTTCGATGATGTTTCGTTTTTCTAGAATCTACGAATTAAACAATATGAAACAAATACATTTGATTATATTGTTCTCTGTTGTCGTGTTAAGTGCATGGTGTAATACGTTTATTATCGAATCGATAAGTGTCACCAAGACATTTGTATCCAGTCAAGCGCTGTTTGCTAATCCTGAACGAGGATGGATCGTACATCGATTTTCCAATGATATATGGGGACTTGACAATCTGCGAAATAGCACAGAAAAAGTATCACTGGTTCTTATCAAAATCGATATTTCAGACTACGTCAATAGTATACATATTGGACAGACTAAACTTAATGAAATTCGTACAGCACTCAATAGCTGCCGCACAAAAGGATTAAAAGTTATCCTACGCTCGGCCTATGCCTGGAATGAAATATTGGCTCCTGATCCAAAGGACATTGAAACCATTAAAACTCATGTTATGGATATGCAGTCCATATATAATGAATACGCAAATATTATCATTGCTGTCGAAATGGGTATGTTTGGACCATGGGGTGAGATGCATTCATCACAACACAGTACCATCAACACAAAACTCTATTATCCAATTGAAACCAATGCACTCAAGCAAGTTCATAATGTCTACATGGCTGCACTACCAAAGACACACTCTGTACTTGTCCGTAGGCCGTATTATATTCGTCAAATTTTTAATGATGACAATCCACTAATGTCTGATCAGGCCTACGCCAATACGGGAAAAGCACGTACAGGTTATCACAACGATGCCTACCTTTCCAGCGCAAGTGATGCTGGCACCTTTGCTCCTGGCTGGTCACGAACTCAAGAACTTGCTTATATCAATAAAATGACTCGTTTTACTTTTTTTGGTGGTGAATCATTTGGTACTCCAAACGATGTATACAACAATGCTAATAATGCAATGTTAGAATCCAAACAGCAACACATGACGTATCTTCATCGAGATTACTACAAACCTATCTATGATGCATGGGGAACTTCGATTAAAGAAGACTTTACACGTAAACTTGGTTATCGATTTGAGTTAAAGAACCTTTCTTATTCAAAAGAAGTAGCACCCGGCGGCATATTACATTTCTCTTTGAAATTACAAAATAATGGCTTTGCAGCAATGCATCTCAACAGGCCTGTCAATCTGATACTCGATAGTGGTAAGACAGGTAGTGAACATATTAAATATCAGACCACCCTCAGTGTAGATCCACGAACTTGGACACCAGAGTCAGGCATAGTAAGCATTGAACGCAAGCTTCGTATTCCAGCTACTATCAATGAAGGCATTTGGCAACTATATTTAGCTATGCCAGATAGTAGTATACAGTTACAAAGTGACGGACGTTATGCGGTTCGATTTGCTAATGAAAATGTCTGGAATGCCGACGGTACAAATCTATTAGTAGAAAACATCTCCATTACAGCTTCTGCTCCAGGTTCCCGTACGAAAGACAATGTATTCGAAGAAATTGGTACGACTAGTACTGTTAACTCGTCAATCCACCATCTAAGTGCACTAAAAACAACAGAATGGTTAACACTCTCAGCTACTTATGATACAGATTATTCTTTCCATCAAGCTTTTATTGATGCCGACAATAATCGTGCGACGGGCTACCTTGTTGAAGGAATAGGGGCGGATTTTCTCGTAGAAAACAGTCATTATTACGTTCACAACGGCCAAAAAGGAAGTGATTGGACATGGCAACCCCTCAATGGAACAGTTACATCTTCAATCAATGGCTACCAATATGTTTGGCTGTTGTCGATAGCTTACTTTGAATTGCCGATCATGTTCTCTAGCAAGGTGCTTTTTGCAGGCACGACAGGCAATCAAGCCAAATACTCTTCAGTAATATCGGTCACCATAACCAATAACTAACAATAAACATAAGAGAGACTACAGTCTTCGCAAATCATTCTTATGCAGACATAATCATGACTGACAAAGGATATAAATATATCGGCATTGCTGTTACCTTCTATTGGTCTCTCTTTTCTCTGGCCTCTCGATAATCAACATATTGTTTTTTCTGATATCTATTTTTAAGGAAATGGT